TCTGAATTTTTAATAATAAATGAATTCCGTTTCAATTGTCACTTTAAGTTGAAAAAAACTCCCTTATACCCTTTACGGGGTGTAGGAAAAAAGGAGGTGTGACATTGGCGATTTGATCGCACAGATAAGTTCATATGATATTTTTGAGTTAGTATGCATGTTTGGTTTGGAGCCCCGAGGGTTTGGGTGAGTTTCAGAAGGTTTTGAACTTAGGAAAAATTGTAGGTTTTTGCTGTCTCAGGTGCACAGAGGGTTGGTTTATTCTTCGCGTTCACGTGGTTCCACCCGCGAACGCATAAGGCAATTTCCTTAGGTGCCAGTTTGTTCTTCACAAACGCGGAGCTTGGGATGCAAACGCGAGGCTGTGGGTGGATTACCCTTCGCGAACGCGTCCAGGAACTCGCGAACGCATAAGGTTAAAGGCCTGGGAGGGGGGGTTCACATTTGTTCTACGCAAATGCGGCCATTTGACCGAAAACGCGAAGGCTCTAGGAGCTGAAGCTCCGCGAACGCAAGCCGTCGAACGTGAATGCGATGATCAGCTGGGCCTGATCCATTGCGAATGCGACAGGCCTATCGCGAACGCGATGAAGGCCTGCTCAGTGATTTTTAAACCGTAACAGAACATACGGGATTTAACCCAAATTTTATAACTTCTTCTTCCAAACTCCAAATTGGGCGATTTTTTAAAGAGAACTTCACCACAAATCCATAGGTATGTAATCTAAGACTCATTTTTTTCAGTTTTCATTAACACCCATTAGATTTCTAGGCCTAAATCATGTTCTTAAGGGTAGAAAATTAGGAATTTGGGTAGAGTTAGGGCTTTTTGTATAATTGGGATTTAAACCTCGTTTTGGGGTCGGATTTTTGAACTAATTACATATTCGGGCTCGTGGGTGAATGGGTGATCGGATTTTGGTCTGAACCTCGTGTTTTGACCAAGCGGGCCCGAGGTCGATTGTTTACTTTTTGGGAAGAATAATAGGAAATCTATAATTAAGGATTGGGATTGGATTGTTTAGCGTTTATTGATGTTATTAAGTCGATTATGTCTAGATACAAATGATTAAAAGCCAAATTCAAAAGGAAAAGCGGTGTTTAAGGCTTGAGTTGGCCGTAGAAGTTCGAGGTAAGTATTTGGTCTAACCTTAGCTTGAGGGATTAGGAGTCGTGTCTTATTTGCTACGTGGTAACTGTGGAGTACGACGTATAGGCATGGTGACGAGTATCTATACGTCGGTGTCAAGTATGCCCGTGAGTCTTGTATTGTAATTGTTATGACATGTTGTGGTTTATTGCACTTTATATGAGGATTATCATTATTGTTCCCTTGCCGGGATGTTATTATCATTATTGTTCCCTTGTCGGAATGTTATTGTCATATTATTGTTCTCTTGCCGGGATATTTATTTTGATATTATTGTTCCCTTGCTGGGATGTTGTTGTTATATTATTGTTCCCTTCCCGGGATTCTTTTGTGATTGGTGTTGATAAATAAAATGGGAGCGGGTTTCACGCCTGCAATGGTGATATATGAAATGGGAGCGGGTTGCACGCCTGCAATGGTGATATATGAAATGGGAGCGGGTTGCACGCCTGCAACGATTATATATGAAATGGGAGCGGGTTGCACGCCTGCATCGGTAATATATAAAATGGGAGCGGGTTGCACGCCTGCAACGGTAGTATATAAAATGGGAGCGGGTTGCACGCCTGCAATGGTAGTATATGAAATGGGAGCGGGTTGCACGCCTGCAACGGTATCATATAAAATGGGATCGGGTTGCACGCCTGTAATGGTATTACATGTGTACATGTTCTACTATTTCCTTATCTTTGCTGGTAATTGATTTATGGCATTCCTTATATTTCTCTACTGTCATTCTATTGTTTCCTGTTACTCCCCGCAACATGTTTCCCTCGCCCAACATTAGTTGTAATTGTCTGCTTCTATTTCCGCTGTATATGATTTAGCTGCACACGTTTATTTGGTAGTCTGGTCCTAGCCTCGTCACTACTTCGCCGAGGTTAGCCTAGGCACTTACGAGCACATGGGATCGGTTGTGCTGATATTACACTCTGCACTGTATGCAGATACTGGTACCAGAGCGTTTGGACCGCAGTGAGGGTGCTGTCTTTAGTCCACGCAGGCAACCCGAGGTAGTCCTGTAGACGTTCGCGAGCCTTGGCGTCTCCTCCTATCTTTTCTCTTGCTGTTTTTACTTATTCAGAGACAGACTTATGTATTTCATTTAGACCTTGTTTGTAGTATTCTTAGACCGTCTGTGAAGCTGTGACTCTAGTTCTGGGTAGTCTTGTTTAAACAATTGTATTGGATATACTTAGTAGTTTTATTGTCTTTCTTCCGCTTGTCATAAATTTCACTGACTTTAAATTATTGCTTGTAATTGTTAAAGGATTTAAAATGGGAAAAAGGTAAATTGTTCAAACAGTCGGCTTGCCTAGCTCACATTAGTAGGCTCCATCACGACTCCCGAGGGCGAAAAATCCGGATCGTGACATTTATGTTCTTCTACCATACTTGTTATCATTACTTATGTGCCCTCTATCTTGTCTATTTCTATTTTCTATATGCTTCTGACTTCTTAATTGCTACTTTCTGGGTACTCTCTACTTGGTGGACATTATTTATTAGAAATTATTCTACCTGGTTGGTATTACTCTATGCACATTGGTAAGGATGAGAGGAATGCACGAAGGGTGTTGCCGTGCTAATTGACTTGTCACATAATCATTTATACATGGTGAGGGAGAGATTAAAGGACGAAGGATATTACCGTACCATTTGACTTGATATATTGGATATACTTCTCACACCAGGAAAGATTATGAATTTTCTACTGTGATTTCTCCTAGTAATCGTCTATTGTCTTCCATAGTTGTTTATGGTACTCTTATCTGTTATATTCTTGAACAGTCTATACTGTTAGTCTAATGTACAGGTTATAGCAGTATCTTTAAACAAAAAAATTCTCGTCACTACTTCGACGAGGTTAGACAAAATACTTACTGTGTACATGGGATCGGTTGTACTCATACTATTCTTATGCACCTTGCATATAGATTTTTGGAGCGGAGCTGCTGGTAATGTCGGGAGCTGACTCGAAAGACGTTCGTGCATTCCGGATATAGCTGCCACTTGTCCTTGGTAGTTTTAAATTTTGCTAATCTGTTTATGTATTTTTCAAACAGATCGTGTAATTAATTACCGACTTTGTAAATTTCTAGTCTTAGAAGCTCATGATTTGTACTACCAATTCTTGGGTTAATATATAAATGTTCAGATAATTCTTCACTGTTTCCTATAAATTCCATTTGGATTGTATGACTGTTAGTTGTCTTACCTAGCGGGTCGAGAAGGTGCCATCACGACTAGTAATTTTTGGGCGGTGACAGAGTCAAATCGAGAAAAAAATCTGACTATGATTTGGTTTGGTGTTGGAAAAAAATCGAGGATATTTGGTTTGGTTTGGTTTTAACTAAAAAAAAGTCAAACCGAAACCATACCATCCCGACATTATATGTATAGAAGATTAAAATATATTTAATACATAAAGATATTTATTGTAGTGTAGTTTGTAAATATTTCTGACGATTTTTCATAGTTTTATTTTTTAACGTATTATTTCAAGCTTGGACTTATAATTTTTGGATGCTCTAATAAGTTTTATAGTCCATAAATGTTAGTAACTCAAATAAATTATAAACCAAAATCAAATCAATACTAATGCTAATAAAAGACATACAATTTAATTGTACTATGAATGAAAATAATGTTGGATATTTATTTTTAAATTTTTCCATGGTTTAGATAAAATGCATAACTTATTTTTCGTTTAGTGTTTAGTCATGTAAACAATAGTATTTATTAGTCGTACTTATTTTAGCAACTTATTAGTAATTTTAAACTATGTTTGTTTTCATTATGACTTATTAATAATATTTATTTTATGCGATTTTATTATCTTTGTTGTTGAATATTTTAGTACAATGCCATGAATTATCTCATACTTATGTTATTTTATTGAAAAATACCTTATATAGTTATGTCTTACTAGGATTAAAGAAATATTTGGAGCACAAATTCTATGTTTTGTGCTATGCAGTGGCAGAGCTACATTGAAGCAAGGGGTGTCAAGCGACACTCCTTCACCGAAAAATTACGCTATTTTGTTAGATAATTTTTTTATTTATGTATATTTACTATATGTTGACTCCCCTTGACTTTTTGATGTATCTAATTATTTATATTTTGACACCCCTTGATTAAAATTCTGGATCCGCCACTGGTGCTATGAAGACTTTATAAAGAAATAATCAAAAATCCAAAAAGCCAAAAAACACAAATTTTATTGATTTGATCATTAGATTTAATAACTCAATACAATTGATTTAATTTAGTAATTAGAAAATCCAAACTAATCCAACCAATATACGCCCCAAGTTTGAAGAGGACATGTTAGACCGTGTATAACTTTTGAGATTTTAATCATGTAGCTAAAAGTTAAAGAGGGGTGAAAATTGAAATGTTAAAAATGTTCCTTGGTAAGCTTAGCAATCATCTTCCCAACTTTAAGAGTGTGGTTCAATTAAACTCTTGCATTTACGGGTAACTATTCCCTCAAGTCTATAATAAGTGATCAATTTGCTTTTTTTATTTTTGTCTAAAATAAGTGTCCATTTATATAATCAAGAAAAAATTCAATTTGTTTTTCCAAAATTACTCTTATGTATGTATCCTTAAAAAGTCATCTACTCTTCACATTTGAGAAGAGAAGTAAGTACTACTATAACTATGGTGCAACATTTAATGAAGGGTAGTTTAGTCATACTAACTATTTTCGTGTAGAATTTAGTATTTCTTTAATGGGTGTACCCAAAGCAAATTGAACACTTATTGTGGACCGAAGGGAGTAGTTAATAAATTATATACTCATTCTCAGAATTTAATAAATTACATGTCAATTTCAGAAGAATCAAATTTGGACAAAATCTAATATGTAAAGAAGGTAAGCAGCAGTCTCTCTCTGGAAGAAGAAGAACCAGCTCAACCCAGCTAGTAGCAGGCTTCCTACTACCTTCAATTTTTCTGCTCCACTCTGCATTACATTCACAATGTTATTTTGTATATTTAAGCAACAACTTTAACACGACTCACCTATTATTTGATTCATTTAAATTCTAACTCATTTTGATTCAACCAAACTTATCATGACCAATACTTTTAATCCATCTAAATTTAACCCAACTTACCTATTTGTCACTAATAGTCCCAAGACAATAAGATTTGAACAATCTTTACATTGTCACCTACGAACTAACCTTAATCACAGAAAAAAATTAAACCTAGGATACAGTTTAGGCAATTATAATGTGCTACACTTTTTGTCTCGATTTGTGTGACGGTGTTTGAATTTTAAGAGCCAAACAAATTATATTTTGATCGTAATTTTTTTATATGCCTTTAAAATATTTTAAATTATTTGTTATTATAACCTATACTAGTACTTTTTAGTTAGTTTCTATATGTAAATTTTATTTTATGTCAAAATTAAAAGATATGAAAAGTGTCACATAAGTTGGGCAGACCAAAATAAAAGATAAAAGGACACATCAAAACATTACTAGATCCGGATGGCACTAGCTATATATACTGTGCCTTTTAAAAATATCCGTGAGTAGATAAAATTAAAAGGATGATGGTCTAAGATTGTTACCTCATCATTTAGAGATGGGCTAGGAGAATCAGAATCAAGGCTAGGTCCAGGAGCTTCGCTAGGAGGTGCAGGTGGTCCCATCAACTCAGGAGCAGGTGCCGGTGAAGATACATTGTGCTTCTTAACCATCTTCTTACTCTTGCTCTTGCTAGGAGCAGGAGTCTCCGAGGTAGTAGCTGGTGGAGTTGCTACCTCTCTGATGCAGGGGAGCTCACTGAACCACGGCTGTTGGTGAGCTCACTGGAACAGCAACTGGAGGAGAACTAGGTGGTGGTGAGCTCACTAGAACCGTGGTTGGTGGTGAGCTCACTGGGGAAGTGACGGTAGGAGTCGGTGGAGCAGTAGCTGGTGAGGTAGCGGGAGAAGTAGAAGGCTTTGATGTTGTTGTTGGTGCAGCTGCAGGGGACTGAGCTGTGACACCGGCCACCGCAATGCACATGAGAGTCACTGCAAGTAAAATTCTCTGATCCATTGGTTATAATTGGCCAAAAGACAGAGAGATCGTGAGAAAAGTTTTAATGTTTTCGATGAGTATAAGGAGGACAGTAATAGTTTGACGGTTTGAATTCGTGAGCATAATAATAGTCCATTAAATTAATTTCTATAAGAAATTTACTCGCTTCTGTCTCAATTTATATGCTTTTATAATTTTATTGAACATGAAATTTAAAAAAAGATTTTAAATAATGTATTTTAAACTAAAAGTATAAATAACATATTAAATTTATTTCTGTGTGTTTTAAGGGTAAGATTGATTTTATGAGAATGTTAAGTAATAAATAAAAAAAAGCAAATGTGACATATATGTTAAACAGTAAAAGATAAACTAAGACATGTATTTGAAACGGATCATTTTAACTCAATTAACAAATTGATATTTTTAATTTAATTTATCAATTAACTAAGATGAGTTTAATATAAATTTATGCAGTTCCGGCTTCCGAATAAAGCCTTCTTCAAAAGGCTAAAGAAGACGCAACATGTGGGTGGGGCGATGATTAATAGAAAAGTGGGTTCCACATTTCCATGTGATATGGTTTGGGCTTGCCACATCAGAGGTTCACGAACATATTATGGGCAAATGCATTAATAATTATTATTACGGATGTTATTTAGAGATTAATTAATACTTATTTTATTCTGAAATTTTAAATTAAAAATTTTAACTTCAGGATAACTTTAGATATTCTTGTCCTAAAAAAATCAAGACGAAAAACTGAAATTCAGAATACAATGAATAATTTCTATATAACAACATGCGGCTACCTAGTGTAATTTCTACAACTTTTTACCTGTTCTGCTTGCTGGACTTTTACTTTACGCCTATAGCTAAAAATTTGTTCAAATAAAATGAAAAGATAACTCATGCTATTTTGGTTTATTATTATGTCAATATCTTAGAACCAAATTATGTTTCAGCAAAATTGATTCCCATTCTTATTTATCTGTAAAACTTTACAGGTTATACGTAGTTCATAGACAACTGAATCGATTTCATCCCAAAATAATAAATAAATTAAATAAGAATGTAAGACTTAATGTTGAAATCGAAATAAGATAGCAGATAGCTTGGTTCCGGGAGCCGAGCTTCCGAAGGCAGTGATAACAATATCAATAAGCAAGAAATAAACTATTATTGAGCTTTTGAATAGTATTTAGCATAAGTTTGTCAGAAAATTCATATCCCCTACAATGGCTGTTGAACTCACTACTTATTGTTGCACCTAGGAAACAAGATCGTAGGATCAATCCCCTCTTAAACGATAATTATGAGGGCCATTGAAGAGTATGTAACGGCAGATCATGAATGCCAAATTCTCTATAAAGGACTATGTATTTAATACTGTAGAATATTCTTCATTGAATGCTAATGGGTGGCAGGCATTTATGAGCAACACTTTTTCGGGGGTTATTGAGATTGATGCCCTCGGACTTGATTTTCACCAGTCTTGCTTTCTATCTATCTCCGGTTTCACGTGTCGCTCTATTATGCGAGTATAAAATATATATATATTTTTCCCTATACAGATAATCCCCTTGCTTTCTGGTGGCACTTCTTTGTATCACCGGAAAGTTGGTGAAGATACCTTTCTTGGCAGAAATTCTCTGACCCCCTCTGAAAAGTTTCTGACGCTTGATTAAACACACGTCTCTCCATATTTAATGCCCCGAACACGCGTCATTCCACGATTCAGTAATACTTTCGCTGGTTCTCGAGGTAATCATAGCAGAATTTCTTATTTGAATTTTTGTTTTGTAGGCTAACTTTCTTGCTTCTGAGGGTCTTTAGAAGTTGGTCCGTGACAAAGAAGAACTCAAGTCCTAACGGGATCAATTGTTGGCCGAGAAGGAGAAAATTACTGCTCACCTCCCGGTACCAGAAGCACAGGCTGACGAGGCCATTGAGTTGGAGGCTAGGTTGCAGCAGAGCAAGAAAGAGGTAGTGACTCTCGGCCAAGAAGCCGCCCTGTTAAAGGGTACAATTTCAAGAGGCCAAGGCAAAATGGTCCGAGGTCTAAAATGTTGTTCTTGCTGCTGCCGATCGCGAAGCTGCTCTATTGAAAGAATAAATAATTTCGAGGCAGTCTTGAACTCCAAAACTGAAGAGGTTGATGCTGCAGAGAAGAAGCATGCCCGGATGGAAGTGAAATATAAGAAGGTCATGAAGCACAATAAAGTTTATAACTCCACTATCCGTGATCTTGACGTCTCAGGCCGCCAAATCCGAGCAGAATAACCTTTCGACCGAGGTTGACCAGCTTAAGGAAGAGCATCAGCACCGATCGACTTCCCTCATTGTTGAAAAAGCATATATCATGTACAGCATGAGGAGAAAAAACTTGAAAGAGTCTAAAACGGGCGTCATTGACTATGATGCCGAGATCGCCAAGGCCCGTGAGCTGGAGTCAACTACCCGAAGGGGTGGTCTCCCGGTCCAACATGTTGCAACTGACTCTTCTGGTTCTAGTTCTGAGTTCTCGAGAACTGAAGAAGAACCTGAGAGGGATGATGAGGAAGGTCAAGACCTCGATCCGGCAACAGGTCCACATTCTTCTCCTAGGGGCGCAGATGCTTCTCTTCCTCGGATTCTAGGGATGCAATGGTTTAGCCTTTTATTTTTTTCCTTTGTTGTTTTCTTTTCTATTTCTTGTACATGTGTTGCTTGGCACACTTATTATATATGGAAGTGCTTTTTTGTTTAAGCATTGCGCAAAAATTATTTTTTGTATTTGTTGGCCCAAGTAAATGTGAAGCTTTGAAGACTGACAAAAGAACTCAGACATGGACCAGGTCCATCTTGTGAAGCACAGTCGTGATCAACCCAAACATGTGAGATGCACGTGAAGGAGATCAATCTAACTTATCAGAAGTAATATCTCCTGATCATGATCGAAAAGGTTGCATATTGGATAAGGAGAAAAACTCCTTACACAAAGAGAACACAGTTTAGGAAGAGGATAGAGTTAGAGTATGAGATCAACTAGAACTCTTCCACCATGGAAGAGTAGCATCTGTATCCTAGTAAATCTCTAATTGCTAACCCATTAAATATCAGTGTCGTTCTCTTTTACAGGTAATGCACATAAGCAGAAGTTAAACGTGAATTGAGAGCAAAATAGCAAGGCAATTTTGCAAGCAATTCATGTGTGATTCAAGCGTGCAATTCTGAAGCTATTTGAACCAGATAGAAGAACCAGTTTCAAGTGTCTATATTTTATTCTAGTTCAATTGTAGTAGGTGCTTTTACATTGTACCTTTCAGCTTAGTTAGAAGCAATTGTATTAGGTACTTAGAGTTTTCAAGTTAGAGTTAACTTGAAGTTATCGCAGCAGTTGAGGCTGTGTGCCACAATATGATTATAGTTAATCCTAGGTTTACAAAAGAGTTTTTGTAAATGCAGTTTTTGGATCAGTGATTTTAGCGGAGAGTTTGGGAAAATCCTACTGGAAGGTAGGTCGTGGTTTTTTCACCTTATGAGTCAGGTATTTTCCACATAAAATCTCCGTGTTCTTTATTTTCTGTACTTATTATTCCACAGCAGTAGTCGTTGGAACATATAGAAGAACCAGGTCCTTCTATAATCAAGTTAAGTGAAAATTAGGTACCACACAATCACCCATACTTTTGTGTGGTATTGAAGTCTAAAACATCAATTGGTATCAAAGCGGGTTATCCTTGAATAAGCTAACATCTTAGGAACAGATCAAGATGAGTGCACTACCTAGAAACTAGGAAGGGTAATCCACTGCTAGGCCTCCACTCTTTAATGTCCAGTACTATTCCTGATGGAAGAACATGATGAGAGACCACATCATAGGAGAAGACTATGAACTCTGGGACATAGTTATTGATGGTCCCTTTGCTACTACAAAGAAGAATACTTAAGGAGTGGATGTACCAAAGACAAGAGCTGACTGTAGTGTTGAAGATTTGAATAAATGGTAAAAGAATGTCAAGGCCAAGAAATGGCTTGTGTGTGGACTAGGTCTAGAAGAGTACAACAGGATTCAAAGTTGTACCACTGCTAAGGAGATATGAGACACCCTACAAGTGGCCCATGAAGGAACTCCTCAAGTAAAGAGATCAAGAGGAATACTACTATATTCTCAATATGAGAATTTCACCATGAAGGAAGGAGAAACCATCCAAGAGATGTACACAAGGTTCACAACACTAACAAATGAACTTAAGTCTCTTGGAAAAATTATCCTTGAAGAAGACAAGGTTGAGAAAATCTTGACAAGGGTCTTGCCAGTAACTTGGGAAAGCAAAATCACAGCTATTCAGAAATGAAAGAACATTGCTACCCTCAAGTTGAATGAGCTGATTGGAAATCTCACTATCTATGAACTGAGAAGGCAAACCATGAAGATGGATGCACCTAAGAAGGAAAGAAGCCTGACTCTCAGAATAGTTGAAGGTGCAGACTTAGAGGATGATGAAATGTCTATGATCACAAGGGATTTCAAGAAATACCTAATGAGAGGAAAGGGTTCTTCAAGAGGTCCAACCTTCAACAAACCAAGGGATCCTGAAAAACAGACCAACGAGGGCTACTACAAATGTGGTAAGACTGATCACATTATCAAAAATTGTCGCCAGTGGGAAAATGAATGGAAAAAGGAAATGGCTGAATGAAGAAACAGGAAGAAGGAACAGGTTCAATCCAAAAGGAACAAAAGATCAACTAAGGCTATGGTTGCTGTTTGGGGAGAAACCTCAAACGAGGATTCAGAAGATGAAGATGAAACTGAAGATGAACAAATATGGCCATTGGAGAATCAGACGATGAACAAGAGGTAAGTGTTATTCATCTCAAAGATAAGATTAATTTTTTGTCTAAAGAAAGGCTATCTGAATTACTGCTAGACTTCATTGATGAGTCTGAGGTCATAAACAATGAGAAGGAACAACTGTCTAGGGAATGTGTGATCCTAAAATCCAAGTGCAAACATATAGAATTTAGGGCAA